TGTCGTCGATGTATGATCGTCGACCTAACACCGACCTCGTTCCGGGCTTCGCTGGATCTCCGTCGTTGAACACATCGCGGTGTCGCCGGTGGGCGACAGCTTCTAGAACCCGTACAACGCGTTATCTATTAGCCGTTGATATATCTGCGGAGCGTTGCACAGTCCGAACGGCATGCGTAGCCATTCGAACAGGCCGAACGGAGTGATGAAGGATGATATGAGCCTAGCACGGTCTGTCATTGGAACCACCCAGAAACCGCTGACCATGTCTAGCGAGCAGTACTACTTGTACTTGTCCAGGTCTTCAAGCAGGTCTGTGACCAACGGCATGGGGTAGACCATCAGCTGCGTCAGACTGTTGACAAGTCTATAGACATTCGTCACGCGTAAGTATGTGCGGCGTCCGACCCGAGCCTTGATCGCGGAGGTCACCCACGTCACCCCGCGCGTTACCCATAGCTTCGGCGCCATCTTCTCGGGCCTCAGCGGTACGTCATACGAGTCTCCGTCGCAATGCGCGTCAAGCTTGGAACGTTCACCGCGCGCATCTTCGATCCATACAGTGGCAGTCTCCCGATCAACTGAATCCGAACTTCATCCGGGAGACATGCGGTGCCGTCGGCTGCATCGACTCGCACTCCCGCTGGTACCATGAAGTCCATCCCCAGAATTGCGTGCTGACCAACCAAGTCCCCTACCCACAGGTCCGCGTAGTATACCAAGCCCCCGGCCAAGGTGATCTTGATGCGGGTTTTATCTACTGTGAAATACGTCTCATCGCGGATGCCAACGCACTCTTGAGTGACGCTCGTATCGATCAGGCAGCCTACCTCACGAGCAAAGGTGGTGTCCAAGATGGACACCTCGGCGCCTGTATCGAGCAACAACACTGTTGAGCTTTCCGTGGATCTTGGCCTGTTTGTACCATTTATCCGGCGCGAAAAGTTTCCAGTATCCGCGTCGTTCACCTGGCTGTAGGTCAATCACGTCCGAAAACGCCTCGCGTGCGTATCTGCCACATGCCGGATGGCCGCAACTCGGGGAACACGTTCGTGCGCGGTACGTATCGCTTCGGTTTCGCATGTATTATCATTCAGTGTTGCCTTCCGCTTTCTAACTCCTTCTCTTGATCTCTTGGTAACATATGCATAGACGGACATAGATCGCTCGTCTCGTACTGGTTTCCACGCCAGCGAGCGACCTAATTTAACATCTTCTCGGCCGTGGGCGGGAGCATACCCGCGTGCTTCTGAGGGTCGAACCACTGACGCAGCTGGTTGAAGAATTCTTCCAGGGTGCATCATGCACGTCGCCACAGGCCTTGCAAGCTTGCAGGCATCAGTCCGTTGGATGTTTTCTGGCGCACTTCTGACACGTGAGCAGGCTCCAACAGTCTCCTTCTGTGTGTCGACGAGACCTGCAGTGTTGACACTTCGGGCGATCGAGTCCCGCGTTTCCCGAATCAAACTCGCGTCGCGGGTTCTCGCCGGGCGGTGCGTGGCCCGTCACGAACAACCTGACCCGATCTGCTTCATCACGGTCTTGTTCGCAAAGCTGGTCATCGCTGGAATACTCCTCGCGTCCCGAGTCGTATTCGTCAGCGGCCATCTGGACGGCATGCACAGCTCGAGATGGCGACGGGGTCGTCGCGGGCGGCTTTTGGCGAAACTTGTTCGACCCGAATAGGGCCTTCCTCTGATGAGCCAGTCCGCGTTGACGGGCATGCAACTTCTTTTCCAGTGTGGCCGCGTCGGGGACTTCCATGAGCGTGAGGCGTGACGCGAGCTCCAGTTCTTGAGCTCCCAGGGTGTTGATGAACAGTTCCACATGCTCTCGCTTCTCTTCTGGGCTTCCGTCGGCATAGTGAATCTTGGCCCGCATTCCTGCGACGTTGAGGCGATACAGGTACTCCAGGGGCGTCTCATCCGTATACTTCGACGCATGGTAGTATCGGCTGGCCATGGACACTCCCTTGCCGCAGTACTGGATACAGAATTGATCGGTCAGCTCCGTCGAAGACTTCCGTGTCGACTTCGCGAGTTGTAAGCACCACTGACGCGCGGGCTCGGCCATCAGGTCCCCGAACAGAGCGCACACTTCGTCTCCCGTCATTCCGTCTCGACGGGACGCGGATTTCAAACGGTTGAACCAAGCTCGGGCTTTCTTCTCGCTTGCGTCGCGTCCGTTGAACTCCTTGAGCTCTGAGAACGCCGAGAGACGCACGCGTGCCAAGCTCGTACCAGCCGTCGCCGTCGAAACCGCCGCTGCGCCCCCAGGAGGGCTCGCGTCGAGGTCAAACAAATCGTCTGGGTCCTCGTCTCGCTCGTGTTTCGATCGGTGCGACGAATGGGAGCTCACTGTCTCCATCGCGATGTCGGCCGTCTCTTGCGGAGCCGTGTCCGGCAGTTGACGGCGGCACCCGCGATTCTGGTTCGCGTCGGTAGGGGCCCTCTGCGTCGTCCCGGGTGCACCCTGCATCCTGGTTGACTGCATCTGTCGGATGATCGCTTCTTCGAGGACCTTTGGGACAGCCGCTTCCGGTGTTCGTGCTTCGGGCTCTGCCGACTTCGCGGTGAGTTGCATCACACGCGGCGTGCGACGCATCGGCATTCGTTTTGGCGACTCGACACTACTGTCCGAGTCATCGCTCGACGCGTACGTCGGTGTTGGCAGCGGGGTCTGCATCCGCGGTTCGGTGTCCTGGATCGAAGGTGTTTTAGGCTTGATCGTTCCGACTAGCACGGTGAGAGGAGCGCGGATGGTGAGCATTGCGTCCTTCCATGATTCCAAATCCCAATCGTACAGACGCTCCATCTCGAATGCGCCCAACACGAAACCTGACTCTCGAAGCATCGTGAACAACGTCTGGATCGCCAAACGTTCGCTCGCGAGCTTCGCGAGCTCGGGTTCATGGAATGGCCCCGTAAGTTTACCGATCAGCTTCGGCTTGAGGAAGGCGAGGATCGGGTTTTGTTCCAGTTTCTTGAACAGTTCCGTGCGACTCAGCGCATACTCCCACTCCTTCGCGGTGTATTCGCGTCCCGCGTTCTTGCCCCGCGGTTTGGATGACGCTTCGTCATCCGACTCCGGTGCGCGCAGCTTCTTCTTCTTCGGCTTGCGCCTCGCGGGTTTAGCCCTTGCGGGTGTTGATGGTTGGTCTTCGGCTTTCGCGGGCTTTAGACCGGGCGGACTGCGACTTTCGTCAAAGTCCGTGGTGGCTCCAGGCGGAGCCACATCGGGAACGGCAAACTGTTCTTCGTAGCC